CCGACTCTGAGACTCCCTCAGTGGCTTGGAGGGGAACTGGCGGCCCTCTGCTGCACTGGAAACACCCAGGAGCAGGGATGAACACAGGAATCATGGACTCACTGAGGAATATATCTGGGTCTTTAAATGAAATGGTCCTAAACCCTGTAACCCTGTGATCTGAATGGTTCATTTAAAAACAGCACAGTGATTTTGCTGCATCATTAAACCTAAAGGGTTAATAAACCACCAGGTGCTGACTGGCAGTTGTGCAGACTCTTGTTTCTGTTGCACCTGGCTTCACTTTTTTTAGATGTGTGTGTGTTCTTCATGTTTTTACTCACATCTTGTTGGCAGGGTTGGAGCCAGTGGGAGATGAGGGCTGCTCGGGATCCAGATTCACCAGACATGTTGGGAACGAGCAACCGTCCCCTAAACTGAAAAAAAAAAAAAAACAGAAGAAAACACAGTTTAATGAAAAGCTTGACATTTAAATAACTAGCTGGTAATAAATCTGCTCAATTGTGGTGACATTATGCACATAAATAGAATTATATGTGGTGTATTTTATGTGAAAATGATGGATAATAAAGACATGTTAAAGTACACATATAAGACCTCTCTAATTGGGGGTCTGTGGTTTAATGTGCATCTATTGTGCAACTGTGTTTGTGTATTACAGGGTTTAGTTTACAGAATAAATAGTACCAGTTGTTGCAAATACTGGGACAAAATGGGCTTCTTACAACTATTACAACTGAATTCATTCTTCACAACAACAATATTTAGTTTATACATTCAAAAATGTAAAAGCTTAGGGGGGTTTTTTGTTTTCATAATTTGACTGTGATTGCCAAAAAGCTGTGTATCCATAATATTATTCATTCTTTCAGCATGAATTACTAATTTTGCAAAGCTGGAGCGTCTGCATGAATTCACAGTGGTGATGTTGTTGTTTACTGAAGCTGATGCTCCCTTGTGTCCTTTGAGACTTTTCCTTCTTTTGAAGCATTTTGTTTCAAACTAAGTGACACTAATCCTCTTCTCTGACACGAGATTATCTGAAGTACATGAGCATCTTCTGAAGAGATTGTGTGTCACTGCTGTGCACATTGATGCTAACTTTATAATTAATATGAAAACTCATTGTCCCTGTTATAGTTATAGATGCAAGGGGAGTAAATGGGGAATTTAAAACACTCCAGTATTACCTTTTAATACCATATTCTATATACCATATATAACCTATAACTGTACATGTCTTCACAACAACCTTATTTTCAATAATGGAAGAATTTGTTTAAATCTATGTGCAAATTCAAATTTGTGAGGTGAAAAATTAATCAATTGTGGTATCAAGGTTTAACTACACTTCACAAAATGAAATATGCTTTGTTTTGCACAGTTTGTAGACCAGACCGATATGGGTTTTTTGAGGGGAAGAATTCACTTATTACTGATATAGCGGCAGATATAGTGATTTTTTAAATCATCACATATATGCTGATACCGATACAATACTGCCAAATATCAGAGAAAATATATTTTGTAGATTTTTGTCAGAGAACATTGTTTTTCAATCACATTTACAAAAAACCTGAGAAAATGGTAACTGGAATTGTATTGAATCATGATACATTATAATAACTCATAAACTGTAAATATGAACATTATGTGCTTTCGTAAAGCAGAACATTTTTTACTAAACCAAATACACCTCAAATTTCTTTGACGTCATTGTATGCCTTTATTACAGCTGGCAGTAGAGATATAATGCTCTTTACATCATGTTTAGACACATGATAACCAGGTTTCAGCCAGTTCTTCTCAACTTCTCAACTTCTCAGCGGGTTACAAGTTGGATCTATTTTTTTGTGCTCACCACACTGCAGAGCTGTGGAGCCTGAAGTCTTTGACCTGATTGTCCTTCAGTCTAGATTCAAAATTGCAGGTCATCTGGCTCCTAAAGTGTCAAACAACCTAGCAGGGGAAGCTATAAATAATTTCTTATCACAGACTTGCTTTATTGGATTTGTTTCTTTCTCCCTCCTTCAGTCTTCGATGGTTTTCTTTTGAATACCTTTGATAAAAAGCCCATAAGAACTTACCTGGAGAAAACAGGAATGGGCCAGTATTTCACTTCATCACCAAAGACCTGGCGGAAGTTCTTACTGAAGCCCAGACTGAAACCGTTCTTGTCTGTGCCGTGGCGAAACACTGGAGAACGCACAGCCTCTGAGAGGACACACATGGAGACGAAGAGTCAGCCTGACATGAGGATGAATAAATACAGCGCTCCCTCTCGGTTTTTATATAAACTGTTATTTAGGCTATTAACAGGAGCTCATTCAGACAACAGATCAACACATTGCTGCTGAATGGCTGCATCAATGGAGCAACTCTGAATGAAAGTCTCTTTGTTATAGAGGAAAAGCAGATCTCAGACTGTTCTACCATGTGTGACTTCTCTTCCTAGCAGTGTCCGTTACTAAGCTCCTTACTGCTCTGGGCCTTGTGTCTTTGCATTACACTGTAACATACTCCTCTGGATAATCCACCCTCCTCAACACACAGACAAAGTGTGCCACTGTGCACACATAATGAGAAACCGCTCCGTCTGATAACAGCACAGAGAGGCTCATCAAATCACTGCGCTGATGAGGACGGTGACTGAAGGTGGGAAAAATGCAATGAAACATCCTTCATCATTAGTGCAAAGATGACACTGTGCAAAGCAGACTGAGAGCGGATACTCACCGCGCACGAAAGATGAGTGAGCTGCTGTCTGACAGAGGCTCTATAATTACTGCATCCACAAACAGAACAAACACACGCACACATGCAGGCATGAAGTATGCTCCACCTACCCAGAGTGGATCGGTTCTTGCAGACGAGCCAGCAGTGGTAGATGAAAAGCGAAGCCAGGCTGACTGAAAACATGGAGGCCGAGAAGAAGAGGAACAGGATGTGGAACTTCGCCTGAGTGTCTGGGAGTCCGTTCTGGGAGGAAAACAACAACAAAAGCAATCAGAACAACTGCATGAAAAGAGAGAGGACACTACGACTCTGAGTGGGATCTGAGAGATTTCTACTCAAGTATTCTAGGGGGGGCTTTTTAAACTGTTCCTACTGCAGTGCCACTAACTAGCTGGTTAACTCATACCAGGTATTCTCTCAGACGGAAATGTGCTCTACCTCCAGCCTTGTGGGGGGAAAAAAATCAAACATATTTAACACAGAATGCATTTTTTCATGTGTCCATTCAGATTTGATTGAGTTATGTTGTGCTAATCCAACATTCCCTAAAGACGAAAATCCATAATATAATGTTTCATGCTGTGGTTGGACAAGCCCCACTTACAGTCCAAAATTTTATGAAGTATTGAAGATCGGTAGCAGTTATAAAAAGGCAGTAGAGTAGCGAGTACGCCAAGAACAGCATGAAGAACTTGTAGTTGGAGAATCCCACACAGTTGTTCACCCTGCAACGAGAATGAAAGGACACAGCTCGGTGTGGGAAAATGTTCTAATTAGTACATGTTCAAATCTTTTTCTAAATGCAGAGACAGGACTTGAAGACAGGAGCTATAGGATGCCACAAAAAACCTACACACTGGTCATTTAAGCAGAAGAGCAGTACATATTGGGGGTGAGCTGTTACAGTACAATGTGTGCAGTCCTTTTGTTTTTGTACTGATGTTTTGTGGATGTGCACACAACTATTCTTCAATTTTACGGCCTGTTTACCTGAAAAACGGGTAAATTCATCACAACTGGTTAGCAGAACGTCACAAGAAAACCTTCAATCAGCAGGTTTTTTTCTTGTGAGTTAGAGGACCAATCAGGGACCAGTACTGTACATTACATTTTGTCTAAGACAGCTATGTTCACACCAGGCATGTTTGGAGAGCATTGCAGAAAACAACTGGCTGCTTTTGCTTTATGATCCAATGGCAAATTGCATTATGACTTATTCTTATATAAAACATTTTTTTAAAACATTTCCCCCTGGTCTGAACACCAGACATGGCACATAATTGAAAAGAGAGCAGACAAACCGATCATGTTCAGCAAAAATTACACTGAGTGGAATCACATTTGTTTTGTCTCCCTCTGCTGCCAAAGTCTGTCATCTGGCAGGATGAGAGGTTACAGTGTCAAACGCTGTCCAGTAAACAAGCTCTCTGTGTTTCCATGTGATGTGTGTTTACAGACCCTGTTGACTCGAATGTAACTGGGCAGTGTGATGCCGAAGGAAAAAAATACCCTTTCTCATGAACCTACTGCGAGACTTTTAATGAAAAGGAAATTATGTAAATAGGATATACTAACAAAATCATGTGAGTACAGTGGTACATTACTGCAGCTTCACTGATATCTGTTTAAAATCCTATTGCTAATGAAAAAGTGTCACTACATACCACGGGCAGTGGTGATCCATCTTCAGGATGCATCTGTAACACAGCAGGGTCACACGTCAGTGTCACTGAATCTTACTCTACCTGCCAGAATGCAATGTATATCATGCAGTCTTTTTCTCTATAGGTGCACGAGCAGAGAGCCATACTTATCACAGACTGAACAATGGTGACATCGATCAGGCTTCAGCAGCTGGCAGCGGTCACAGAAACGGATTGCTGAGGAGACACAGGCGATTCAATCACACAGCCGTCAGCAGCAGCAGCCTCTCCTAACACTTGACCACAGACTAATAAGGTGACGGGGGTGAAATGAGTTCTGAGAGCTGCACGTCAGTCTAGACTGTTCCCGTTGTTCCGCATCAGCTGCGGTGTGTACTGTACTGTACCTCCAGAGTTGGTACGGGTGTAGATGGGCAGATCCTTGGCTATCCTCCTCAGGATCTCCTGCTGAGACTCTCCTCGATCTTCACGCTCCAACAACTCTTTGTCAGAGTAGGACAGGTGAAACTATGTAGAGCAGAACACAGAGGGAAAGACAAACAACGCCTGTGATTTATCAATAGCTCTGTCTGTGAGCAGTCTGCTTTTATTTCTAGTAGAATCACCCTCATATATGTCGAAACAGATTCAAATGAGCTGTCAGATAAGCTACAAGCTGTGTTGGCGTCAGTAATGCAGTGATGTCTGTTTCTGTGAAGCTGCAGCTCAGTAGGCATTGAAGGGTATATCTGTATCTTCAGTTTGTTTTGGTTCTTTCTGCCCCAGCAGGCAAATGGGACCAAAGCAGCACAGAGCTGCAAAATTACAAATGATCACAAACAGCACAGCATTAATGAAATTCGACTTTTATTACTATCTCAAAACCTCAAGTGATCCAGCGATCACGTCTCATAAAGGAAGGCTTTCATATGAATGATCACTTCCTGTGTGCGTGCTTGGCCTCAGTTCAGATTGAAATGCAAAGGTGGCTTTCTCTCTCTGAGCGTCCTCTCTGAGATGTATGCATGTGTGTGCGTTCAGCCTGCAGAGCTGAAGTGCTGTGGTCAGTATCAGAGCCATTACAGTGCAGCTCCAGGCACTTCCACTGGAAAGTATTATTAATCTAAATGCAGCATTCAATCACATGTGGAGGCTGTAACCTACATCTGCACCTCCCACCATGCGTCATCATCCCCGTCGACAATAAGGCAGCGTCGCGTCCGACACACTCACCTCCTTCAGGGGGTTCATGGGCTTGGTGAAGATGGTTTGCCAGTACGCCCACACAAACATGATGAAAATGACATGGTACACCAGCAAGTACACAACTGAAAGCAGAAAACATAAACAAGTCACCATCATCTATCCTCAGTGGCGTGCATTTAACCATTAACTCACAGTCTGCAGCTTCAGTGAATGTGATACATACTGTATATACTGTCATATCCACCCACCTCATATATATAAAGCATCCTGCTACATGAATCCTATTTATTTCAGCATCCTTTGTACTCCCCACCATTGCACTATTGTCTTACTGTCTATAAATGTTGCGGTTGATGTTTTATATTTTTGCTCTATATATATACTGATGTACATTAAGAGCCATGTAAAACCATAGTGAAATTCCTTGTATGTGTACACAAACCTGGCCAATGAAAGTGATTCTGATTCTAATATTAATGATATTGATGTGACTTAATGTAATTTCTTTTGTTTTCATTGTGACAAATAAAAAATCGAAATAATATATTATTATTCTGCTCTGTTAGAGTGAAAATGTAAAAAAGGAAGCATATTTCCAGTGTTGACACATGGCCAGTGTCAGTGCAACACAGTTAAGTAGCATTTTTTTGCTGTGGTTTTCTGTCCCTTTTGTCTGAAACAAGAAAGTTAGCGTGGCAACAACATTGGCCAATTGCCACGAATTTCATTAGTTTTGCAGGTCAAACTTTAATCTGTTGGTAGCGTGAGATGAAAAGTTAATTCAGCCTGAGGGGAACATGAATGTGTGCACCAATAATTCATGGCAATCTATCCAATAGATATTTCAGTCTGGACCAACGTGGGTCACCCACTGACAGACAGACATTACCATCCATCTGGACTGAATAAAAGTCTGCATTTAAAGATGTAACTGAGGTGATGAAAATAAATCTCATGGCACTCCTCCACTCTGCTGATTATAGTGTTTTGATTCTGCACAGACTGAAGGCCGCTGAACTCAACTTGACATCTAACAGATACACAGAACAGCTGAAGACACTTATGATTCCTCCTGATGTTAAACAGCAACACTTACCCTTCTCTCCCGTGTTTTCGATAGACTCTGAAAGATGAAAAATGGAAAGTAAAAAGACACAGTCAGGTCTGTGATGAATAAAAGAAGGTGAAACACACTGAAGGGCATTTTAGGATAGTCCCAAATTTGTAGGTCAACATGGCGAGCCTTACATTTTTATTTTTATTTTGAATGCTTCACACAGGGACCTCCTCCACATGCTGTATTTTACATTATACATGTTTGACTGACAGTCAGGGTCTGAATTCAAATAAGCAAATACAGAAAATGCTGATTCTGTAAACCCTTAATCCCAGTGTCCAATACCACACCAGTCACAAGATCAATATACAACACACTCCCAGTCAAATAGTTCGACTCATTGTTCCTCTCATGTAGATAAGCATTACTGTGCATTGACAAAAGGCATCGAAAACAACAGGAACATCCTGCACTGTTTGTGTGTGTGTGTGTGTGTGAATGCTGACAGCTGCAACAACTCCCACTGAGGTGACGCTGCTGATTGAATGCCGACATCAGCACCCACACACACTTGATGAGCACCCCAAAAACCTTCACAAACACACACCTAAAGGGGCCGGTGTGCACATAACACCTTAAGTTAAGATTTTCTTTAGAGTCTAAGTTTGCTTTAGAACTTTAGAATTTATAATTTTGTATTTTTAGGAATCCCTTAAAGATAACCATTGCATAAAAAAACCTTAGCAACCAAAGTAATAAAA